ACCATCTCACAATAAATACATAAATGAAAACCCTCTTGAAGTTTGCATTGCTGCCCCTAAATTTTGTAGATATGGACCCCTGAGCTAGACTGCTTTGGATAACCTGGCCTGGCTAAAAATGGGGTGGGGGTGAAGGTAGCTAGTAACAACTATCCTGATTTAGGGGAACAGTCTCTTAGCCTGGAAGTGTTACTCTTAAACATGTACATTTTGTCATTCAGCTTTCACCAGGCATAATTTGTCCTCGTTTTTTCAAATGAGAGCATGGGAGCTCAGAGAGGCCAAGTAACTTGATCACAGTCTCCTGGCAACAGAGTCCCTTTGTAAATCCACATGCTTTGGTGCCATCTGCTACTTCAAAGTGCTAGCCTGAGGTCGGCAGCATGGGCATCACACAGGGGTTGGTAGAATCTCAGACCAGACTCTTAGCTACTGAAGCAGTCTCCATTTCAAAATTTTCAGGTGATTGCTATGCACTTTTAAGCTGGAGAAATGGCGTGACTCCTAACTATGCTGTTGCCATTTAAGCGGGAGTTAGAAACTCAGCCTTGTAGGAGAAACAGTCACTGCTATTTGGGGTGAGACAGCTTCAGAGTGCGCACCTGTAGAATGACAGAGCTGGCTTCTTTCTGGTCCCAGTAGTTCTATTTTGAACCACAAAAGTATTTTGGGCATCTTAGTCAGCACAGCATCTTTCTTTAAAAAACGCTTGTGAGCTATTTCAAATATGCATATTGCCAGACTTTCTGCCGAGGAAATCCCTGCAATAAGATAGTAGGTGGGAAAATACCAGTTTTGACCTGATGACGAAGGCAGGGAACAACAGGAAAGCATTGAGTTACTTCTGAAGAGTAGATGATATGTGACTGGACAGATGGCTCAGGGGTGAAGCACTTGCCACTTGCCAAGCAAGCAAAAAGACCAGAGTTTGGATCTTCCGAATCCACAAATGCTGTATGGATATGGGAGAGAACCTGTTCATGCAGCCTCAGAAGGCAGAGACACGGAAGGCTGACTAGTGAGAGTAGCCATATTGTTGATCTCTGTGTTTGACTGGAATACCTTTACCTCAGTAGATAAGGTGGAAGCGCAAGCCGAGGAGAGTCCCAACCTCAGTCTTGGGCCTCCACATGAACATGCACAGGGTGTACACATGCAACACACATACCACATACATAGTATATATGCACAAAAATAAGATGTCTTTCCCAAAAGGAACTGTCTGAAATAGATATCCTATGAGGATGGCAATGTTGCAGTAAATGCCATGCCCACGTCACATTTTAAATGGAACTACCTCAAGGAAAATGCTGAGCAATGCGAGTGCAGTTTCCATTTTTTAAAAAAAATATTGTTTGAGCATAGTTCTTATTCCTTTAAAAAGATTAAAACAAATCCTTGAACTAAATGTAGTTTTGTTAAGATAAAAAAAATGTAGCCACACTTAGTGTGCATCTAAAATTCTCTGGGCTGGGAACATAGCGTAGTGGTAGAGCATTTTCCTATTATGTACAAGGCCAAGGACTGCAAGTAAAGTTCCCAATGTAGGGAAGAGACAAATAAAGACAAAAATGGTATCTATATGTGAAAATACCACAATGAAACCTATTTTTGTATACTAACTTAAATGGAATTCAACATTTAAAAGTTGAGGAATTTTAAGAAATAAAATAAAATTACCAGTTACATCTCAATGACATTATATCCAAGTCACCGTCTAGATGTGGAACCTGCAGTCCTTTCTGAGTCTGACCTCGGGTGGGTCACAAGTGTACAGTCTTTTCTAAACAAGTGAGTGATTTCAGACAGGAGAGCATGTCTAGATGCAAGAGGATTCACCGAGCTCCACCATCGAGAATGATGCAGTAAATTTCCAAAGCCCATTTTTATGGAATCTGAGGGCTCAAATAGTGAACACATGAATAGCCTCAGTTCTCTGTCTGAGATGTGTAGCTGGGACAAATGTTATAATCTGTCTAACACAAAAAGACCAGAACCCAAAGTATCTCAGAGTTAGAGAAGCCCTCACTCTCGTGGTGGAGACCCTGTAGTTGCCATCTGTCTGTAGCTTTCAATATAAACTTCCTTTTTGCAGTGGTAACTTGCCTCTTTAGAGGTTGAGGAGTTGTTAGTTTTTTCCTCCTCCTCTTCTCTCCTCCCCTTCTTTCATAATCCTTCTGTTCACCCACCACAGTGCCTGTCCTTGAACTCAAAGGGAGACATTTCATAAATTGCGCTTAAGGAATTTTAGCCTAGAAACAGCCTCCTGACATATACTATGTCTTGCTATGATGTGACCCCTCTTCCAAAATGTACTGATACAGACCCACTCTTCTCTGAGAATAGAAGGGATGGCCACTCCAATTTTGCTGTTTGCCATACCCAAAAGTAAATAATGGGAAATAGACAAAAGATGATCGATCTATATCAATCTATAACCCTGAGATGGACACTTGAAAGTTCTAAGGAAAAGAGAAGCAAGGAATTATACCATCAGGTGGGCTGAGAGACAAGAAGCCTTCCTAGAGTAGTGGTTCTCAATCTGTGGGTCACAACCTCTTTAGGTGTAGCATATCAGATATCCTGTATAACAGATATTTACATTATGACTCAAAGCAGTAGCAAAATTACAGTTATGAAGTGGCAATGAAAATAATGTTATGGCTGGAGGTCACCACAACATGAGGAACTTATTAAATCATCACAGCATTAAGAAAGTTGAGGACCATTAATATACAACAAAAATGTTGGCCTTCCTCAAAGTAAGAGATTTCTCTAGCATAAGTGCCAAAAAGCTGGAGCATCAGGGTT